GAAGAATTCCACATATTTTTATTCTTTCTTTTTTTTCTTTTTCTTTTTTTTTTCTTTTCCCTTTTTTTTTCTTTCCCCTTACTTTTTTTTAGCTCATCGTTGAATGAAGAAGAGAATGGGCGATGGTTGCTTATATAGGCAAAATTTTGCCACTACTTTGTGACGCCCGAAGAAAGAGTCACAAATTTGTGACTCTTCTGTGACCACTTTGTGACTACCTAAGCTACCTACCACCTTCACAAATATCTTGCCGACATGCTACCCGACAAACCTGCCGACACGCTACCCGACAAAACTGCCGACATGATTTTGGTGACGAATTTGCGACTCTTTCGCGACGCCSAATTGGAGTCACAAATCAYTCYRAAATTTGTGACCGATTAGCGACTACCTCAATTCACTATTTAGTTGGTCACAAATTAGTCGCTAATTGTGACTAATTTGTGACGAATACTTATCTCTCCAGTATGAGTCGCTATGTAGTCGCWAATTTGCGACTACWTWYCMACTATATTTGGTAGTCGCAAATATGTGACTATTTTGCAACTCTGATTTTCGCAGTCACTGATTAGTCACATATCAGTCACAAACCAGTCACAAATTTAGTGACTACAAAATCAGTCACAAAAAGTAGTCACAAATGGACTATTTTCTTGTAGTGGCGGGCCATCCAATCTTCCGCTTCAGAGCCGTCAAAGGTAGGTAATTCCAGGCGGTGGTTTGGGCGATGAAACTGCTCGGGAGGTGGATGTCTACCCGGCGGTTGCCAGTCGGAGTACTTCGGGTCCTTTGGGGGGTCGGAGAACAGCTGCACATACGGACGACCGTGACCCTGCGGTGGAGCATTGCGATCAGGAGGCGTAAACATCGGTGCTTTACCAGACCGATGATCGCTCACAGATGCGTCGTGCAATGAGCCACGATGCGTGGATGCGAAAGACAGCTCCTTTTCCGGTCTGTCTTGGCGGTTCTGAACGCCATTGCTGCCAGACACTTGTTCATCTCCTGCAACGTGATGAGGATTTGAGAGAACATCTTTGTTGTCGAGGGCTCTACTTCGGACGCAGTCATGGAGGTTTCGTTGGAAACTTCGGTGATGGGAGACAACGCCGGTAAGTTCTTATCCATGTCCCTGGGTTCAAAATTAATCTGATACCAATTATTAGAGATTTACTAGAGAAAGTTGTAAAACCCTTGACAAATGAATAAAGATAGAAACTTTGATTGAAAGAAACGGTTTGTTTACAAGAAAAGATAGAAACACAGAGGTATTGAGGAGCCTCTTACTCTCCTTTCTCTCTCTCACACAAAATTGATCAACCACTTGATAAAAGCAAAAGTGGCTACAAGCCAAGATATATAAGCTGTAACCGATATTAAGGAACCCTGCAATTCCTATGACGTGTCTCATGTTGCCGTTGCCTTGTTCTTATCCAAAGCCGACTTATTCTGATCCTTAACCATGTCAGTACCGCTTTGGTTTGGCTTGGTCTTTCGGTTCCTCAATCTCCTTCTGCGGTATTGGTAAACCAATGGGGATCGTTCCATCTCTCTGCTAACATGTAGCCACGAAAACCTCCAAGGCCGAAGAAAGGGGAAAAGCTCCGACTTGAAACCAGAACCGAGAGAAGGAGGGAACCAACAGATCCGAAAACCAAACCACTTAAACCCAAGCACAACCAGCCCTTCTTCAACTAGGCCAGGACTCCTAGCCGAACCCCAACCCACAACCAGCTTGATCTCGAGATCAAGACCCGAGATTTGACCAAAAACCGAAGCAAAATTCTCTAAAAACACAAAATACAAAGACTGAAGAGAAG